CCCCAAAACCCCAAAACCCCAAAACCCCAAAACCCCTTTAAATTAGAATTACGTTGAAAATATATCAAACTGATTAAAGTGGGTTCTCTAAAGGCTCATGAGGAACGATTGGTGTAAAGAGCCCTAACTTTCTTTCAGCCCAGTATGGGAACTTTCTATCAAGGTCATCTGCTTTCTTGATGTATCTATCACCTTCTTCCTTATGCTCTTTGTGTCTTGCTAAGATATGCCCATAGTTTCTCAAAACAAATACTTTGATGTAATCATCTGTCTTTTCAAGACCCCTAAGGATGTTTTGGTTCATCTTTATGGTCATATCTGTCTGGCCCATAAGGTCAACAATTCCTGATAAATCTGAGACAATCTTGTTGCTAATCAAGTTTTGAGGATCTTTTTCTCCCACTAACTTGAGAGAGATATCAAAGAAGGCCATAGCTTCCTTTATTTTGTTAAAAATCAAGCTGATTTCACCTAGATTTGCTAATGGAAGTGTTGATTCTCCCTGCTCGAATGCCTCTGAGACAAACTTAGTGTTCATTTGATTATCTCTAAGGTCATAATGCTGAAAATCTTTGCTTAATGTCTCCTTTATCTCAGTATCAAAGAATTCTTGAACAAAAAGCTTCATTTTGAGATCTACTTGGGATAGATCTCCATCTTCTTTGTTCATGAACCTTTCATCAAAATTTTCAAAAGCAAGTACTGCTTTCTTCAGGTCTTTAATGCCTTGCTCAAAGGTGTCAACATACTTTTTGACTTCTGCTTCGATTTTAGACTTATCTTCTTCTCCACTCTGGCTTATTTCTTTAGTTTTCTCCATGAAATACCAAAATCTGCTCATTCCAAGATTGTTAAGGGAGAATCCAGTTTGGATATGTGCTTCAGGAACTTTATTGCTAGCGTTGTATTCATCTGCAATTTCGATACTCTCGTTGTAGCAATCAAAACTTTCCTTATGTAGGGTCCCTTCAAGGCCATAAGCTGTACCAAGGGTATGTTGGAGGTCAAACTTTTCATGAGGAATGAGCTTAGAGTAATCTAAATATTTAGAATCAATCATATCCTTTCCAAGCACATGGCACTTATCAACATCATAGTTGAGGTAATATTTCAGTAAAGTATTGTAGCATCTGAAGACCATTGAATTGTTGTCGGGGTAAGCCATTGGAGCTATCTCTGTGATTCTTTCAAAAATTTCTTCATTCTTCTCACTATCTCCAGCAATATTGTTGATACTAGCCATTTTGTATAGAGCAAAAACATGATATGGTGTGTTTGGAGAATGATGATCTGTGATTTCATCGAGTAAAAGCTCGAACTTCTGCATTGCTAAAGAGTACTTCTTCTCAATTGCTAGCTTCAAACCAACTTGGTAAGTTGGCATCAGCTGGACCAAGTTAGGGATATCTTTTGAATCACTACTAAAGTTACGAGCACCCAAGAGTAGTCTTGTTACAGCTCTAGTCTTAGCTGGGAATGTTCCTTTCAGAGCTCTTGCTGAGGCTCTTTTCATATTCATTGAGAATAGCATCTTTCTTGTGGCTATTGAAAATATTATCAATAAGATATAACCAATTGGGGTTTTGGGGTTTTGGGGTTTTGGGGTTTTGGGG